TCTCTCTGTCTCTCTGTCTCTCTGTCTCTCTGTCTCACCACCAACAACCAACCAACTCTTAAGGTGAGGACCAAGCTTAAATAGCTTGTAAGTCTCCCTCCCCCGGATCAAACCATTTCTCTAATTCAAAGTGTTTTTTCCCCTTTCCATAAATAACCCTTGAGAACTGTGGTTAGGTTTGGCCTTTTGAGGCCACCATAGGCTGACTCACCCCAGAACTACTGACACCAAACAAACAGTGAGTAACATCCATTTTGAGAGTGCTCTCCATTCACACCACAATACTCACTCATACCTGTGTTTAAGTATTTGAATGTATGTGAAATTAGGTATGTTTATGTACGTGAATGTATATGAAATTAAGTAATAGCAGTTACTAATCAAGCCCTGAGTGTGCACCCTCAGGAACTTCTCTATCAACCCCTTAATGGAAGGTGTATGAATGTTGTATTTTCTGTGCTATCTGTACCCCCTGACAGACTCCTCTGTCACACCTGACTTCAGAAAAATGATTTTTTTTGTTTGCAAAACTGTGTGATTTAACTATGACAAGCACTTCTGAATTAAATATTTAATCCATGTACCTCAACAGATGAAGTAAAATAGAAATAAATAAAATAATAATGACATATTTAATATAGTTCTTAAACCTGCAGTTGAATTTTTACTAAATTTACACTAAACAGATTGTGACTTAAAAGGTGACTGACAGCCAAACTAAATAAGCTATGAAAAGGAGAAATAACTCTTTTTGAAGGCTGAGGTGAGGGACTGTACAGTATGGACAAGGACATCCCCATAGCAGGATCCTAATAGTGTCTGTGTGGTTTTAAATCACAGGTTAGCTCTTTGTGTTACCAGTTACAAGGAGTAAAAGGACTCTTTCTGATAACTACGGTTCCTACATTGATCTGTTTAGTTTTTAAATCCACACACCCTCCATTCACCCAGACAGGTCAAGCTTTTCAGACAGAGCCATTCCTGTACTTGTCAACTGGTAAAGCTGTACATTTTCTTTTATTTTTTTTTCACTTTAAAAAATGAGTGATTGTACCTGCCAAAAGACTGAAATTAGTACATTAGTACATTTTAAAGTGTCATGGGGAAAGAAAATAAAATATTGCTCCCATAGAGGCTGTGGTCATTTTCACAAAGCATCAGGAATGCTGGAGCCTTCTTACATTCAAGACCAATATAAAACAGTCACTGTGTCTTTTGTTTCCTTTTTTGCTTTAAATTGTAGACTTGGAGTTGTAAAATGTCAGATCCTGGCTTTATTCTGTATTTTAGTATAGAATAATGTACCTTATTCCAGAAATCTTTACCTGTGAAAACATTCAAATAGAGATATTGGATTTTCATCTGCATCCTTTTACAACATTATCAGATTTCTTTTTCTGTCTTACATAATTACCAAATAGTTTTTAACTATCCATCTTTTTTTTTGGTCTCTGATGATTGACTATAATTGAATTTGAGTGCTATGCACTGTACAACACAAATTTATGTGTCACTAAAAAGGTAATATAGTTCCCACAAGAGTGTGTGCTAGTACAGATGTGTGCTAAATGTTTGACAGAGCCATTTTAAACACATTGTGCCTGATTATAATCTTTTTCATACCCTCTGCTCTATTACATTACTGAAGATCAGTCTGTCTTGTTTTGGCTGGGCAGTGGGCAACATGAAGCTGAATGTCTGACACAGTGACACTTAATGGGTCTTAAAGTTGCTTTCTGAGTGATGACAGCTCTTTCTCACCTGACTAGTTTTGTTGACAAGTCAGCAGCTGACAGATCTAGAACAAAGTAGCAGCTCAGGGCACTAGAGGCAAGTGAGCCTGAGAAGAGTAAATAAGTTGGTCCACCAACAGACGGAAG